TGCTAAAGGAGCTCACGGTTTGTATTTTTCCTGGTTTATGATATTGATTTAAGTTAATTTTTGCGCCTGCGCATTTGTAAGATTATGTCAAGAAACCGGGATACTCCATTTGATCATGTATACGCGGATATGAGTGTCCCGGTTTCTCAGTGCGCATGTAAACACAGTAACACGAATACTGACATAACCGGGGTATGGCTAATAACCGGGTTACTGATGTGCATGTATACGCACTCATTGGATCATATAGTAATATGTTTATAGAAAATAATTTAAGAAAATATAGAACTTACAATCATGGAGGAATTTCAATTTTTGTTGCCTTATCTGAGTATTAATATTCTAAAACAGTAGAGTTTTTATTCTTACGAGTGCTTCTGACTGTTTGTAGGGTTTGTTCTTCCAGAAGAACATTTTCAGATAAGAAAAAGATGTGAATGTCAAAAATGTTCGTAAGAAGGCCTTAAGTACAAATTTGTTCACAAGAACGTTTCATGAATGAGGCCCAGTATCATTAAGAGGCCTGAGCTGCAACAGATAAATAACAGAATGAAACAATAATTGGCCATAAAAACCTCTTAGTCAACCTTCCACAGCTAACACCTGTGAAAAGCATATTACAATAAAAATACCCCAAATCTGCAAAGAAACTGCACACACGATATATACAGATCTCCAAAATCAGCAATTTGTATGATGATTTTAAATGTATTGAAGCATTTTTACAGGAGTATTCTGGATCACACTGGAAAGGTTGAAATTGTGGCTTTCGACAATACCATTAGGTAAAAAAAAACAAAACAAAACAAAACGAAAAAACAAACAAACATTAGAGCATTGACCAGGCACAGATCCACTGATGGGGCGGATGGAAATGTGTTCTAGGATAATCATATTACAGGGAATGGACCATGTGTATCCTTAAACTTATTATACAGAGACAGGAAAGGTTTCTATAGGATTTATGGTGCATTTATGTTGCACTATTAGGCTCCCACTATCTCCAACCCACAACCCTGTGCCAAACCCCAGCATGAGAGGGTGAAGTGTCTTGCACTACGACACAACAACGTGAACTTGAGACTAGAGCGCCACCAAGTCACAGTCGCCACTACTACTACTACACTACTACTACTACTACTACTACTACTACTACTACTACAACTACTACACAACAACTACAACAACAACTACAACAACTACAACAACTACTACAACTACTACTACTACTACAACTACTACTACTACTACTACTACTACTACTACTACTACTACTACTACTACAACTGCTACTACAACTACTACAACTACTACAACTACAACTACACTACTACTACTACTAACTGCTACTACTACTACTACTACTACAACTACTACAACAACTACTACAACTACTACTACTACAACTACTACAACTACTACAACTGCTACTACTACTACAACTACTACAACTACTACTACTACAACTATACTACTACTACTACTGCAACAACTACTACAACTGCTACTACTACTACAACTACTACAACTACTACTACTACTACAACTGCTACAACTACAACAACTACTACTACTACTACTACAACTATACTACTACTACTACTGCAACAACTACTACAACTACTACAACTGCTACTACTACTACAACTACTACTGCTACTACTACAACTACTACAACAACTACTACTACTACTACTACTACAACTACTACTACTACTACTACTAACTACAACTACTACTACTACTACAACTACTACAACTGCTACTACTACAACAACTACTACAACTACTACTACTACTACAACTACTACAACTGCTACTACTACTACAACTACTACAACTGCTACTACTACTACAAAACTACTACAACTACTACTACAACTACTACAACTGCTACTACTACAACTACTACACTACTACAACTGCTACTACTACAACTACTACAACTGCTACTACTACAACTACTACAACTGCTACTACTACAACTACTACAACTGCTACTACAACTACTACAACTGCTACTACTACTACTACTACAACTACTACTAACTACTACTACTACTGCAACAACTACTACAACTACTACAACTGCTACTACTACTACAACTACTACAACTGCTACTACTACAACAACAACAACAACTACAACAACTACTACAACTACTACTACTACTACAACTATACTACTACTACTACTGCAACAACTACTACAACTGCTACTACTACTACAACTACTACAACTGCTACTACTACTACTACAACTACTACAACTACTACAACTGCTACTACTACAACTACTACAACTGCTACTACTACTACAACTGCTACTACTACTACTACTACTACTACTACTACAACTACTACAACTGCTACTACTACTACAACTACTACAACTGCTACTACTACACTACTACAACTACTACAACTACTACTACTAACTACTACTACACTACTACAACTACTACTGCTACTACTACTACAACTACTACAACTACAACTACTACAACTACTACAACTACTACAACTGCTACTACTACTACAACTACTACAACTACAACTACTACTACTACAACTATACTACTACTACTACTACTGCAACAACTACTACAACTGCTACTACTACTACAACTACTACAACTGCTACAACTACTACTGCAACTACTACAACTACTACAACTACTACAACTGCCACTACTACTACAACTACTACAACTGCCACTACTACTACATCATTCTTTTTCAGTCCATAAATCATGATAAAAATGTAAAAGTTAGTATTAAGTAACCGCGACATGAGTTGACAGAGAGGGGTTTTGACCGGAGACCCTGGGGCCGCTGTGCGCTGTTGGAGGGACTTATTGAATTTGACGTGTGCGTGATAAACCCGAGTGGACGTTTCATTGGGTTTCCAGCGCGGCAGAGGCACATGCATTTACACAGAGGCCAGGTGCTGCTGTGGAGACATGAATTATCCAACCGAGACAGACGCCGCCGTGTTACAGGAGGACACAGCTCGGACACGGGGACAAACAAGGGACTTTTTATTAGAGACACCGTAACAGAAGACAAACCTGGTGAAGTACAGAAAGAGGGCTGAGAATCTAAAAGCGTGGTGTGGTTTAAAGGTGCTCCCGTGTAACATTTCTGGTGGTAATCACTGTTGCACTGTCTTCCTATGACTTGTACTTTTACATTTATAATTATGTTTTATTTGACACCAGGCTCTTGCTCTTTTTTGCTACTTTTTCAAAATACCAGGCTTTGGGAGGGGAGCGAGAGGTTTCGTGGGCTCCAGTGAGACCTGGTTTAGACCGGGGTTAGACCTGGTTTAGCAAGGGCGTAGGTTTGCATAGGGACGGTGGGGACATGTCACAACCAATATTTGGGGAAGACAAAATAGTCCCTAACAATATTTGCCATCTTATTTTAATGAACAAAAATTTTAATTTATTCTGATATTTTTCCAAACTCAATAGTATTAATTTAACACATTTTGTTTATTAGACGTTCTGAGATGTATTCAGTGAGATGACGACAGGGTTACGCCTGCCGCTGTTTCATTGGCTGCAACAGAGTGATGTCATTAGGCGGCAGGTGAAGCGGCAGGACAGGGCCAGCACCTGAAAATGTCGGCTTGAGCAGGCATGAGTGAAGACGCTGCGCACGAAACTTTGAAAAACTTTTCAAAAGGAACTTACTTGGCTTCAACTTCAATTAAATTTGTCTTATAATAAGTCGCCGCGGAAAAAGAGCACCTAAACGGAGCCCGACTCGCTGCCGGACTCTGACAATATTCCATGGAAAAATGTTTGGACATTACCTCACAAATATCTCATCACCAACAAGTAAAGGGAAATCTGCTATAAATCCGCTAAAGCAACCTACAACTAAGTGCAAGTAACTTATTTTCAGGTTTAGTTGATAATGTCTACACCAATGCTGAGACCAAACCTACACCCTTGTGGTTTAGACTGGGTTTAGACTTGGGTTAGTTCTGGTTAAGTTTGGGTTTAGACCTGGTTTTGTCTTCTGAACTGGGAAATCCTTTTGTGGTGAATCATAATATATTAAAATGTATTTAATCCTAGTTTAGTTCCTGCTGGCTCTAAAGCTGTATTCACACTGAGTTAGTCCTTGTTTGAGTCCAGTTTAGAACTGGTTTAGACTTGGTTAAGTCCTGGTGTAGTCCAGGATTAGTTCTGAGTTAGTCTCAGTGGTGCTCATTTTGAAGCCTTTGTTTGAAATCATAATTTTGTGTTATTTGTGTTGAAATAATTGTCATATTTTTCTAGAATAATGTGTTTTATTTTGAAAGGATGAGTTCTCCTGAGAAGGTTTCTGACACATTCACTGGACTATTATTTATGACTGGAAAAAGTATTGGAAGAACATTGTAGACAAACATTATTATCTACTTGGAGACACCATAGCTTCCACTAGAAATGTTACACAGTGCACCTTTAAAGTCATAAAACATACAGTCTGAGGTGGTGGTTCTCAACTGTGAGGATGGTTAAGATCAAGCAGGACCATTTTCCCCATATTGAGGCTCTATTTTTGGTTATTGTAAACAAATTTCTACTTTTTACAACTAAAATTAAATGAAGAAAGTTTGTAATTTGTTTATTTCGTTATTCTGGTAAATTTACTCAAACGAGAAACTGGTCTGAGCAGAAATTGAACCTACAATATGCCGAATTACAAGTTTCTTTGCTTAAATTTATTGTTATGGTGCAGCAGCAACTAAAAAAACAGAGAGAACTACATAGACCATGATCCTTTGCTCTGTTTCTGTTCAGTCCAGTCTGTTATTAAGCACTTTTAAATCTTATCGTGAAAATATTGTATCGTGAGATTTGGATATCATTACATCTCTACTAAATACAGACTGAAAAAAGCATAATGTAGAAGCTGGTGTGTTCGATTTGCATATGGCCCAGTTTTGATCCTAGCACCACCCGTTGAGAACCTCCAGAGCGGGGAGCACATCCAAGCCTTACCTCCCAGCAGCTTGGCCTGGCAGTTGAGGAAGTCGGGCTTGCGGGCGGAGCAGTAGCGTTGGCAGGTGTGGTGGAGGATCTGGATAAACGTGCACTTCTCTCCGGAGGAACTGGCGACCCACTGGTCAAAGGCCGTGTCGAACAACAGGTCGAACTCCGGACAGTCCTGAGATACGACGAAAACAGTAAATTAAAATTGAAACCTAAAAAATTTACCAAATCCAGAAAGGAATTATAACATTTTTAGTTAAATCTGAAATATACCTGTTATAGGCACTTTAAAGGGCCACTAAACACCAAAATCACTTTTTCAACCTGCCGGGCACCAACTAAAAAGCTAAAAGTCCACCCTAGAGCATTTTTCGGATTTTGCATATGGGCAGAGTAAAACAGAGTAAAAGGTGTGTGTAATAGATGTAATACCCATGATGAAAAATAGGGGGCATACTTTATTGGCATCTATCCCGTTGACCTGTCTCAGCTGGTCTATGGTCCACTGCGACCTCTTGACGAAGGACGACGACCCCGGGAACTGCTTCACTTTGGTGATGGACAGGTGCGCCGGCTTCTTGTTGGTTACTATGGAAACACAAACAAACATTCACCGTAAATACGAGCATAAAAGCATTTCCTCTTCCTCCTCAATCCTCCTCTTTTCCATGAACCACCTGCAGCCAGCGGTAGAACCGGCAAAACAACACCCAGTTTATGCCAAGAGAGAAACAATAATCATAGACATACTACATATTAGGGGTGTAATGGTACATGTATTCATGCTGAACCATTTCAGTACAGGACGTTTGGTTCGGTGCAGGGCAGTGCACGAGTGAATTCGCGCAATTTGTGTGTTTACATTCTGACACTACATGTGCAGCTGCAGGGAAGGCTCAGCTCTTCAATATTCACGAGGAACTCGTCCGTGATTGGGGTGGCAGCATTTCCCGCAGCGCTTTATAGTTAGGGCGGCTGCCTTGACAACGTCCCTCCGAACCACATAAATCCTCCTTCTACGGTCGTCACGCCCTGGTCCTCACTTTTGCCAGCATGAAATCTCAACTGACAACTGGCCATAAACATGAAGGTTGAGTGAAACTTATACTGGAAGTATTAGGGCTGTGCTTAACTTTTTGAAAAGTTTTGTTTACTGTTTACAATGAACACACAAATAAACAACAAGCAAATGTTTTTTTTGCATTTTGTTCCTATACTGTACCGAAAATGAACATATTACACCTTTAACATGGCACATTACGACATTATGTTCAATAATGGGGTCAAATTGTGATTGAAACTGAATAAGCTCCTTGTTAGCCTGTGTCCAGCCCCTGTCTGTCCACACCTCAGGTCAGAGGAGGAATGCATCTGCCTGTGGGCGCTAACAGAAAGAACTGCAAACAATGAGCTCCTCACATCTGCAGCCAACAACAATCACTCGTACAAACAGATGGAACTGAAATATGGGAGAGGTGAGACAGGAAAAACAGGAAAACTTCAGGACTGGTTAGGTGGGACGCGTAAGTGAAAATGATCGTAAAAAAGTACTGTCACTTTAAAATAATATTACTCAAGTAGATATAAAAAAGTAGTTAATAAAAGCACAATCTTCATGAAATTCACACCACAAGTTTAACACACAAACCCTGCATATTTAGGCTGAGTTCTTTTCTCAAATCTAGATTTCACTAGAATCATTTGGATAATTTCAGCCCTGGAATTGTTCATCTCTACTGAACTACTGAAAAGGTGAAAGGAGCAATTAACTTGAAAGCTACTGCTTCATGACATCACAAGGTGGAACAGAGCATTAGCACAGCACAGCAGCTTTGGAGATATGAACAGACTAATAATAATTTTTGTGTGAATGAAAAAAACACAACTTCAGGTCTGTTTTTGAGGAGGTAACAACATTCTAACATGACTAAAAGCTTACAAGAGACAATCTGCATAAAACAGGACCTTAAAAAAAAAATCAAGGCCAATGTCAACTGTGGCCACCTTTAAAGCAACAACTAAATGGTCACATTTTTATAAAGCGCTTTTTTCAACTTCAAGGCTCTCAAAAAGCTTTACAACAAGGCACCACTCACCCATTCACACACTCACACACCAGAGTACGCAGACAGTGACGAGTAGTGTCTTGCCCAAGGACGCAACGACAGCATACATCTGTGGCCAACCTGTGGGTCAGTGGATTTGACTGTTCAACCAATGATGTTTATGTCGAGAGCTGTTTATGTCCAACCTTCGGATCAGTGGACAAACGTTCCGACTGAGCTACTGTCGCCCCAGCTTATTTTTAACTTTCTGGAGGTGGCACATCACCTGCATGATTCTACGGCAATTGAAAGTTACAACCATATTTCAGAACATTCTCCGTGGAGTAAATACATTATATTTCATAATGTGGAATACGCCTAGTGCCAGGCTGCCTAGTGCCTCCGCTCAATTTCATTTCTCTCCAGCGACTAGGTAAGGAATCAGAATACATTAGACGATTTGCAAGAACACCGGACGTTGTAGACCGCGCACCGGCCATTTAGTGAAGAGCTGTGAAGCCATGATGTCAAACTCAAGCACCTGTCTGGGTCCCTTTTGTGGTACAGCACAAAAGTAAGCAAAGAGGTCGAGATGGATGTAGATGAAGACAGACATTCTGTGTTGGCAACGATTCCCAAGATCGATGATTTAGAGAATTTTGGTGAATTTTATCAAGCGGAAAGATGTTATTGACCTTCTTCCAACAGAATTTGACACATTACATACGTCATGACCAAATAGCAGCAATTGGTTAAATAAAAAAAAGTACCCGCCTACCGTGGCGAGAATGAATCCTAATGCTGCGAGTTCAGACGGTTTCCACAAAGTGAAGCCGGCTGATTTCTATAGAAACAAGCAGGAGAAGGCCCTCCTCTAGGCCAAACATGAGTCAGGTTTGTGGGAAAGCCCACTCGCAGTAAGGATGCATGCTTTTCTGTGCAATCAAAATGAAGAAAAAACAACAACATTTTATTTAAGTAAGTATTTTTCAGCTAAAAGGTTACATACTGGAGCTTTAAAGGGCCCGTATTACTCTTTTTTCTGATCTATGTTTTAATGTTTCCTCATCAAAAACAGACTTGGAGTTGTTTTCTGTGTGAGAACCCTGCATATTTAGGCTGAGCTCTTCTCTCGAACTCTCTACAACACTCTGTTCCACCTTGTGATGTCATTCGGTAATACAGGAAGTGCTCCACTGTGTTTTTAAACTCCATACACCTACATTACAATACTGAATAATTTCAGCTCTAGAATTGTCAATCTCTACTCAACTAAAGGTAAACGATAGAAGTGATTGCAAGCTTGAAAACTACCACTACATGACATCACAAGGTGGAACAGAGCATTTTGAGCTCTGGAGATGTAGACAGACATGTGTGAATGAAACAAAACCCAACTCCAGGTCTGTTTTTGAGGAGGTAACAGTATTCCGATATGATTTAAAGCTCCCAAGAGTCGATTTTGCGTAATATTGGACCTTAAAGTAACATTTTGCGTCTCAAAAACAAATCTATCGTGCAGTTTGTAAACGGATAGAAAACATCGTCTTGTATTACTATCAGTGGGCCTTTTTCCACGGGGGACTTGGAGCTACACGCCACTCCAACATGTGTGGTTCCATCCCATTGTTAGCATGAGGAAAGCATTACCTCAGGCTGTAATATTAGCACGCCGGATCTGCTCCATTACACTGCGCGGTGACGTTAGCGTGTCCTCAGCGTGCCCCGGTCATGAGGCTAACCACTCTGCCACAACTCAACCCCCCTTTCCCCTCATATTCTAACCTCCCGCACCTGTTTACAGTTCAGAGGGCACCGTTCATCTGCGCAAACACTTTAGAGATATCAACGTCCACATTATCGCGTCCTGGGACGACGGGCTTCCTCTGGCTATTGTGTCATTTCGGAAATCAGGAAGCGGAGTTGTGCGACGCTTTACAATGTGTTCCATCGGTCAGCTAGAAGTGAGGGTTATTTGTTATGTTAGGAGCTTTGCATACGGAGAACGGTACAAGCGAGAAAGAGACGCCGGAGTCTTTTTTTATGAGGTCGAGGGTCAAGTTAAAGGTCCTATATTGCACAACACGGACTCTTGTGAGGTTTACGCCATATTAGAATGTGTTTTGTGTCATTCCATGGATCTATGAGGAAAAACTGGATAAGGCTCAAGACTAGGGATGTAACAATAACAGAAATATCGTCAAAGTTCTCACAATAATATCGTGGACCATCACAATATATTGAATTACAAGTCTCTTTGCTTAAATTAAGAGTTATGGTGCAGCAATAGCTAAAAAAAAAGACTGAGGGAACTACATAAACCATGATCTTTTGCTCCATTTCAGTGCAGACTACAAGAAGAAATAACAGTTCTAAGCACTTTTGTCTTAGTTCTTTGGATTAAGTCTTGTCAAGGCATTTTAAAAGGAAAAAGAAGCATATTCACACTTTTGTTGTTTGCCCACAAAATATCACAATAAATATCGTACTGTGAGATATATATCATGAAAGTATAGATGCATCACGATATTTCGGACTTCCAGTCATCGCGCAATGCATACTGGGAAGGATTTTCCAAATTGCCATGTTTGTTTTCCCAGTGGGATGCTTCTATTGACAAAGCCAGTCTTTTCTAGTCTTTTGAAACATATCACTTTTGTTTCTGGTTCTGATATCGTCATATTTTAGTTTTGGGATTTGGATATCGTAATTGTGTGGTTGTTCGGTGCCCTAATAGTGGAAAACGGCTCGAGAAATGGGCTTTGGAAGTTTGCGAACTCCATAACTGCAAAAGGGAATCAGATCTGTGTGACTGCAAACCTCTGTTCAAACTGTTTCTCTTCCCAACCGAATTGAAAAATAGTGAAAGGTGAAGGCGATGGGCAGTGCTGATACACAGGAAGGATGAAAAAGTAAAATTTGACTGCCTAAGAAATCATCCTGAGTTTGCAGCGAACATTTTTTATGTGGAGCGCCATCAACGCAAAATCCCATTTGTTAATCGAAAAGTGCAGAAGACAAACAGACTGAGCTGCACTTTCTTGTTCTTGTGGTTTTACAGCAACATCACGTCTTGGTCTCTTTGCAGTGGAAGGTGTTTCTTGGTGAACACTGGTCCCTTTCACTTTGGTGTTGACTTTTTAAATTCGTAACCAAGGTAGAGCGATGGATCGGGATTTTGCTTTGATGGAGCTCCACATACAAAATGTTCACTGCAAACTCGGGATGATTTTTGTTGGCCTTCAGAAAATATCTCAATAAATATCGTACTGTGAGATGTATACTGTGAAAATATCGTACTGAGAGATTTGAATATTGTTACATTCCTACTCAAGACCGACTAGTGGCCGCTCCAGACAGTCGTGTCCTTTAGTCCGACAGAAGTTGAACCGCATCAGTGCACAAGGAAAGCAGGTTTTTTCACCGCTTACAATTTATGCAAATGAGCCATGCGGTTTTAAGTTTCGTTTCTGTAAAATGTAAACAAAGGTGTCAAAGCTGCATTGAACACATTATAATGTCAAATGAGCTGATGCCGCTCTA